GCCATCCCTGTAGCATCACTTACCCAAGGTCGTGCCATCCCTGATCATAAGTGTGAGGAACCACAATCATATTTTATTCATAATCATCACAAATCTTACAATTAACAGTATGCCAAGGTCACATCACCCCTGTAGCATCTCTTGCCCAAAGTCGTGCCACTATTGACATAAGTGATGCGTGTTAATTGCCTCACACATCCTACACTATGTCAAGGTCACGCCATCCCTGTAGCATCACTTACCCAAGGTCATGTCATCCCTGATCATAAGTGTGAGGAACCACAATCACATTTTATTCATAATCATCACAAATCTTACAATTAACACTATGCCAAGGTCACGTCACCCTTGTATCATCTCTTGCTCAAGGTCGTGCCACTATTGACATAAGGGATACGTGTTAATTGTCTCACACATCCCACACTATGTCAAGGTCACGTCATCCCTGTAACATCACTTACCCAAGGTCATGCCATACATGATCATAAGTGTGAGGAACCACAATCACATCACATTCATATTCAACACAACATCTCATTTTATGTCAACATACTCACATCATAATTAACTGTACAACATCTCATTTCATGTCAAAATACTCACATCATAATTAACAGAACAATTAAGTCATAATATATCATTCTCCACATCATGTTAAATCAATTCAATACTAAATTGGTAGATGTAATGTATACATTTGTGCGAAGGAATCACACCACATTCCATAACTCAATTCCACATCACATACACAAAATAGATAAGTCCACACAAAATAGTGGTTCACATACCCCTCAAGCAATTCACCATGAATTGACATCTAGATCATCAATTTTTACTATATAATATAACAATAACATTTATAAATTATTATAACACTCAATTGAATCACAAATTTAATAGAATCTTAACTCAGAAATACAAGAGAGAGAAAAAGAGAGAAAAAGAGAGAAATTTCGAGCTCTAGGGAGTCTGGACGAAATTTGGAGTCCAGAGAAATGAGCCCCAGCTGTCTATTTATAGACTTCGGGAAAGGCGTCCAGAACGACCCATTCCAAAATCGGAACGGCCCTCACAGGCACTTTTCTACAATTTCGTTCTCTCTCCCAAATCATCATTTTTACAAATTAATTGCATATTCCTAATCCTCAATACATACAAAATCTAATGGGATCATCAATTCCTCAAACATAAATAATTATAAAATTACCCATAATCCTACGAGCTTCCTCCTCTACCCAATTCGCTCATGTAACTTTGCATACAAATAATCCCCTTTTCCCCCGTACTTCGATAAGCAATAGCTGAAATTATGTAAGTTTCAGGCAATGCAATGTATACCTTCAATAGATAAAAATCTTTACAAAATATGGAATTCTATATGCAGTTTTTAGTCTGCATATATGCTAATTATTAAGCAAATATAAAGTTCAAGTAGAAATCCATCTGATAAATGCAGCACAAATAATCTAATCAACTGTCTCTAGAATTGCAGTAACGAATCCACTACAATTTAGATAATTGAAATTTGACCTGCAAAAAAAAATAACTCTAATCTCAATCTTCATTCATAAGGTAAGGAAGCTCTACAGCTCCAACTATGTTCCTACTGGCATATATAGCAGAAAAATAATATCAATCCTTAAACGTGGTCTACCACTTGCAGTCACTGTTCAATAATAGTAATATCTATATATATAGAACATTTATAAACCCAAATCAATAACAAATTCAACAACGAATTCAATAAAAATTCAAATGGAACCCTAATTTGAAAGAGAGAAAAAATGAACCTGAGTAAAGGGAGAAATCAAGAATACCGCGCAAGAGGGAAAAAGCAAGGATCATAAGGGAGAGGGAAAGCAATGATCATGAGCAAGAGAATCGGAAGAAAGTGAGCTTAGATCACGAGAATCGCAAGAAAGGAACATTGCGAGAGAAGAGCGTTACGAGAGAGACTCCAAGCATCACGAGAGCGAGTGAGCACGAGCATTGCGTGCGAGAGAGTGAGAGGGTGTGAGC